TCCGTTCTGTGACTCCAGCCGACCCCAAGGTTCGGTCGGAGCCCGAGTGGATCCGAGGTCCCCGCCACACTTCGCGGGCCTCTGCAGACCTGAGCTGATGGCGCTCCGATGCCCCTGCTACCAGCTTCTGGACCCGGGAGGCCAGGAGGGGCAAGAACCCTTGGCTCCTAGGGCAGGTTCGTGTCGTGTCGTGTCCCTGGCGCTGGTTCCTCACGCCGCGAGGATCGTTGAACCTTGAACGATCGGCCGCGTCCGAAGAGGCAGATCGTTGCGGCGGGGTCGCCGCCGGTCGGCACGACGCGAACCTACCGCACCTCATCTCCTACACCTGGCAGGCCTGGGATGCCGAGAACCCTGCGCTCGTGCCACACTCTCTGGACACGGGAGGGCCTGGAGGGGCGAGAGCCCGAGGCACGTGCCGCACTTCTGCTCGGCCTGGAGGGCCGAGGAGGGTGAGAGAAGCCGCTGCCCCTGCCGCACTCTGTGGACCGGCGAGGCCTGGAGTGGTGCGAGCCCTGTGCCCCGCCGCGCGATCTGGGCCCAGGACGCACCGTCCTCGAGCGACGGCGCGCATGGAACGGAATGGCCCACGACGAGACCGCGACAGTTCCCGCGACGAGACCGGGAAGCAGATGACCCCCCCACGGCCCCTCCCGTGACAACCGTCAGACACCCGCAGCGAGACGCTGTTCGGGGGCAGTGCTTCCGAAGGAATGGAAGGGAAGGGGGGGAGGCGGGGGGGGGGAGCGTGCCCGGACAGGGTGGCCTCGAAGCGAGATGAGTGACCGCGACAAACGTTGCGATGCCCTGTGGTTTTTCGCAGACAAGCAGGGCACAGTGGCGCAGCTGAGCGAAACGGAAGGGAGGAGCCGGCGGAGGAGGGGGAGGGGGAGGAGGATCCAGGGACTGCAACTCTGGAGCGAGCAACTGTCACACAGAAGAATGCTCCAGGGCGTATCAGGCGAGGCTCTGAAAGAGGCGCTGCCAGACCTCCACCCTGCAACCTGGGCCGATCTGCTGCCCCCTGCGCTGGGCAGCACTGGCCCCAGGGGCCGCAACCACCAGGCCACCACGCAGAGGGCTCGCACGGCGCGGGCTCGGCTCCACGCTCCCTCGCGGCGGCGGGGAGGCAAAGGTGGGCGAAGCGCTCTCCGCTCCGTCGCTGCGCTCTCCGCTCGCCGAAGCGCACGGGAGGCCCGCCATGGCCGGCCCGGCGCGCAGCCTGGTGCGCCAGCGCCGGGCGGGCCGAGAGCTCAGCGGCCCTCCACGGACGACAGCCGAGTTACCGCCACGCGGTGCGCCTTGGCCACCGACTCCGTGGCCGCGGCGTCCTGCTTCGCCTTCGCCATGTACGCCCTCACCTTGTCGACCTCCTCGTTGTAGGTGTAGCCCGCGTCCCAGTTCCAGCGGGGGTCCCATTGCCCACCGCCTCCTCCTCCGTACCACTCCCCCGTTCCATAGGGGACCCCGGGCGTCCCGTACTTGAAGGGGATGACCCCTGCCTTCAGATCGGTGGCATGTCCATACACGTGCGGCCCAGGGCTGGAGCCCGAGCCCTCCCACTTCTCCAGCTGGTCCAGTCCAGGGACGTCAAGGTGGCCTTGGCGGGGGTACTCCAGCTTGGGCGGGGGAGCCGACTTGCACCAGGTGGGAACGGGGAGTCCGCGCCTCTCGAAGTACGCAGGGTTCACCCACACATGGTCCATGTAATGAAAGCGCGGCTCCACGTAGTTGATCCAATACGCGTCAAGGCCACCGATGTAATTGAAGGAGGCGTTGTGCATGATCTCAAAGATGAGCTCCTCGGTAGCGTCTTTGGACCTGTGCTGAACGAAATACTGATACCCCCGACCAGTGCGACGACCATCGAAGCGGACCAAGACGACCCCGAACTCGAGGTTCTTCCCTGAATAAAAGAAGGTCTCGTTCAGGACCTCTGCCTCGTAGTGGCCATTGTGCACGGCCCAGAAATCAATGGTCTTACGACCGCCCAGCTCTTCCATGAAGGTGGGAATGTTGTAGGCGTGGATGAAGTGACCGCTCTCCATGTCGATTACGCCCTCGGTGTCGAAGCCGATCTTCGTGGCGTTCCCTGTCGGAGACACGCACCCGAGGAATATCCACGCTTTCCGCAGCTTGC